AAACCCAACAAAGTACAAAACAAGATGCTACCCTCAGATAAAACCCCACCCTCATTGCCCAGCCTGATCTGCAAATTGTCAGCTACTTTAGGCTTACACTGAGAATATGTATGGCACCTATATTTAGATTAGACACCTGTTTAGACAATATAGCCTGATGGTATTGTATCTTGCCCATGCTCTTCATCTTACCCAGAGCACTATCATTTCACAGGTATCAGATTTACCTTTAAACTCTGTAGCAAATATCCTCCCCAAAAGCACATCTGAGATGTGTGTGTGTGTGTGTGTGTGTGTGTGTGTGTGTGTTCTTACAGGGTCCTTAATGTCACACAGACTCCACTGTCATTGGACATTTTTTTAAGACCTATTTTTGTTTGTGGTTTCCTGATGGTGGTCATGGCATTTCCTCCCTCACACCCTCTAAAAATTGATGTGATATCGATGTTAAAACAAAAAGCAATGTGTGTAGACTGAGTACAACCACAGCACAGGCCTGATAGCCTCTGGCATAGTCATGGGTATGTTACTGATATGTCTTAAGTCTCAGAACCCAGGTTGAGCGGAAACCAGTTTTACTGCTTAATGAGAGCAGAGTTTAGGAGATCTTTTTCTTTATTATTTTTTTCTTTTCTTTTCCTTTTCCTCCTTCCCTCCCTCCTTCCCTTCCTTCTTTCCTTCTTTATTTTTTTTTTTGTTTAGACCTAGTCTCACTCTGTTGACCAGGCTGGTGTGCTGTGGCATCACCTTAGCTCACAGCCACTTCAAACTCCTGCTTTAGCCTCCCAAGTAGCTGGGACTATAGGTGGCCACCACAATGCCTGGATAATTTTTCTATTTTTTGAGTAGAGATAGGGTCCCAGCAGGACCAGGTTCTGTTCACTCCTGCTCTGACTAGTCTTAAACTCCTGAGCTTAAGCCATCCTCCTGTCTCAGCCTCTCAGAGTGCTAGGATTATAGGCGTGAGGCATTCCACATGGCCAAGAGATCTTTAAAAATTAAAAATAATATAATAATGTTATATGGAATCAACAAAATATCTAATATTAGAGAACTAAGTAAATAAACTAACATATATCATGGAATCTTGTGCAGCCATTAAAATGAGGTAATAGGCTTGATGCCCATAGCTCAGTGAGCAGGGCACCAGCCACATACACCAAAGCCAGTGGGTTCGAGCCCAGCCCAGGTCTGCTAAACAACAATGACAACTGCAACAAAAAATAGCCAGGTGTTGTGACAGGTGCCTGTAGTCCCAGTTACTCAGGAGGCTGAGGCAAAAGAATCACATAAGCCAAAGAGTTTTTGTGAGCTGTGACACCATGGCACTCTACTGAGGGCAACATAGTGAGACTTTGTCTCAAAAAAGAAAAAATACAATAAAATAAAATAAAATGAGGTGGTAGATGAAGGTTTAATGGTGTGAGCAAATGTTAGGATGCGCTAGGGAGAATCAAATTTTAAGTAAAGACGTACAGTATACCTATTCTTATTTAAGCACAAACGTGTACAGTCATGTGTCACTTAACATTAGAGACACATTTTGAGAGGTGCACTGTCAAGAGATTTCATGGCAGTGTGAACATCACAAAGTGCATGCACACGAGCCTAGGTGGCACGGCCCACCACACACCTGGCTGTGTAAAGCAGCGGAGTGCCACTCCTGAACTGCTGACCTGCCCAGCCAATTACTGTGTTGCAAGCCGTGGGCCACTGTAGCACCAGGTGACTGTAGCACCAGGGTAAGTATTCTGTATGTAAACATAGTCACACACGGAACAGGGATGTTACAGCATTATAACTGCTGGAGCTGAGAGTTCATCTCTGAGCACCTCTGTGGACCTGGTTCCATTCACCCAACAGAGCTAGCAAGTTCAGCTGAGTTGAGGGAGAGTGAGAAACTGGAGGAGTGGACAATGAGTTAGTGGAGACTCCAATGTAGTGCCAAAAAGTGGTACAGATTTTTTTCTTTTTCTTTTCTTTTTTTTGAGACAGAATTATACTTTGTCACCCTCAGTAGAGTGCTGTGATGTCACAGCTCACAGCAACCTCACCAAGCTCAAACTCTTGGACTTAAGCAATTCTCTTGCCTCAGCCTCCTGAGTAGCTGGGACTATAGGCACCTGCCACAACACCTGGCTATTTTTAGAGGTGGTGTCTGGATCTAGCTCAGGCTGGTCTGGATCGTGTGAGCTCAGGCGATCCACCTGCCTCAGCCTCCCATAGTGCTAGGATTACAGGCGTGAGCCAGCCTATTGTCTCTGTTTTATGGGGGCATCATTCATGGGCTAGAGGACATGGGTCACAGCCTAGAACCTATATTTTGCAGGAACAACATCTACTTGGTTAACTAGGTCACACCCACCCAAAATTTCTCTTTTCACTTCAGGGCCCTTTCCAACTTTCTTGCCTAGAAGGGCATTATCCTCTCCCACCTCCAGGTTAGCTCCTCTAATGCCCCTTCATCCCCAGTCAGTAACAGTGGCTACAAAGTCACCGGGAAATAGAAATTTTTCAGCTCCCTTACGATCCTATGGGACCACTGTCTTATCGGCAGTCTGTCGTTGTTGGAAACATTGCCACGTGGCATGACTGTGTATACAGGTGATCCATGATGAGCTGGTCCACGCAAACCAATATCTAAGGAAGCTGAGAGACTGCAAAAAGAGGCTGGCAAGTCCTGTTTCTCACAGAAGAAAACATTTAATAAGAGCTTCCAAATAAAAGCCCACGGCTTGAGTAGGGGCAAGACCAGAAGAGACGGTAGATCGTGTTACTGCCCTCATCTCCACCAGGGCTTATACTCTGTAGGGAAAGAATGTATAGGACCGTTGAAGTCCACCCTTCAGGGAAAGGCAAGAATGCTATGTGAATCTGCCTGATGGCAGGATGCATGATCGAGGTTGTTTGGACATAAGGACAGGATTTTTTTTTTCTTTTTTTAGAGACAGAGTCTTACTTTGTCAACCTCAGTAGAGTGCTGTGGCATCACAGCTCACAGCAACCTCCAGCTCTTGGGCTTAGGCGATTCTCTTGCCTCAGCCTCCCGAGTAGCTGGGACTACAGGCATCCACCACAGTACCCGGCTATTTTTTGTTGCAGTTTGGCCAGGGCCAAGTTCGAACCCACCACCCTCAGTATATGGGGCTGGCACCCTACTCACTGAGCCTCAGGTGCCACCTGGTAAGGGCAGGATTTACAATAACTATAGATAAAGTAGAAATCTTACAGGCACTCCCAGAACAGGGGTTAACCTGAAGGCAACATGGTGGATTAGCATCCAAGATGGAGTTGCCTTAGCCTCCATGTGTAGAAATGAGATGAAGGAATGAATATACATCAAAATATTTAAAATGCCTATAATGATTTAGCCAGTTACACTAATTTTATTATATTTATCTGAATAATGATGATGATAGACAATCTTTTATAAAGCTTACCGTATGCAAGGCACTGGTATATGCATCCTATATACATTAATTACATAAAAGTCATAAATATAACTCTGACAATAACAAATCTTGTGAGTTTTTAATAATTAAAAAGTGCTCTTTTCATAATATAAAAAACATGTGAGAGCTGAGGCAGGTGGATTACCTGAGCTCATAGGTTCGAGACCAGCTTGAGCAAGAGCAAGACCTCATCTCTAAAAAATATCCAGGCATTGTGGTGGGCGCCTATAGTCCCAGCTACTTGGGAAGCTGAGGCAAGAGAATCGCTTAAGCCCAAGAGTTGAGGTTGTTGTGAGCTGTGACGCCATAGCACTCTACTGAGGGTGACAAAGTGGGACTCTTGTCTCAAAAAAAAAGAAAAAAAATTTTTTTGAGAAAAATAAAGATAGAAGCATTGCTTGAAATGATGAAAGTTAAGTACCAGTAGAATAAAAGCAGACCGGCTCAGCACCTATAGCTCAACCGGCTAAGGCGCCAGCCACGTACACCTAAGGTGGCGGGTTCGAATCCCCAGCCCGGACCCGCCAAACAACAATGACGGCTGCAACCAAAAAATAGCCGGGCGTTGTGGCGGGCGCCTGTGGTCCCAGCTACTTGGGAGGCGGAGGCAGGAGACTCGCTTGAGCCCAGGAGTTGGAGGTTGCTGTGAGCTGTGATGCCACGGCACTCTGCCCAGGGGGACAGCTTGAGGCTCTGTCTCAAAAAAAAAAAAAAAAAAAAAGAATAAAAGCAGACCAACGTTTTTCTTCATAAGCTTTTGTCCACATTGGATTTGTTGCTATGAGCATGCATTAACTTGATTTAAATAACAGGTATATTTAGGAAATAATACTCGTTCTTAGGTATTTTCTTCTTTTTTTTAATTTGAATTCCAACAGTGAAATACATAGAAAACATAATTTTTTATGTGGTTTAGCCAAAGTTGTTTTTGTTTTGTCACAGCAATACACATTCTACCAAAGTACCTTAACAACAGTAAGAACAGGAATGTGTGCCTCCTGGAAGAAGAGGGTGGTTAGACAGTTTATAGGCATAGTTATAAGTGGGAAATTTCACTGAGTGCCATTTTAATGTGAAATTCATGAAAATTCCATCCCATTCTCTGTGTGTGTGTGTATAAAAATGGTTCCAGTTATTGGCCATCAAATAAAACAGCCACAACTCCAGTCATGTTATTATACACGGTGTCCATAAAGTTCATGTGCAATGTACTATGTTAAATTATTTTGAATTGTACATGAACTTTACGGACACCTGTACTTCCATATATTGCCTAGCATAGATTGTATGGGTTCCGTTTTCTGATAAGCGCAGATAGAAAATGTTTCAGGATTTGGGACAATCTGGTGTCTGTCACAACTCCCCTACTACTGTAGCTTAAAGGTTATGTAGGTCAACTACCTAACAGAAACAATGCTGAAATATGAGTTATCTAATACAGGCTGCCACAGAAATAATTGATTTGGTCTAAAAAAAGATCTTACGACTTCCACAGGAGGCATGGAGCCTGCGCAGCTTGGCTAACTCCGCCTGTCTTTCCCTTTGCAGATCTGTCCAACTCAACGGTCAAACTCTGAAGATGGTGGATGATCAAACCCTGCCCTCTTTGACAGAAAAACCTCTCCGCCCAGGAAGTTCACTGGGTTTGCCAGCTTTCTCGTATGGATTTTTTGTGATACGAAATGCCAAAGTTGCTGCTTGCATCTGAAAACCAAAGGCATATACTAGCTCTGAGATTGAATTTTTCAAATGTATTTATTGGTAAGAGTGAAGCAGCTCAAGCTGTAGAAAGAAGGCAAGCGGATACATCACAAGTCAACTAGTAGGAACTTCAGAAACATTGGGACAGTTCCAGTGCTAGATGTAGCACAGTATTATTATCTCTTTAAGTAGAGCACTGCTAATAATAATAGCTAATATTCCCTGGTGCCAAACACTATTCTTAGCACTCTGCATGTACTATTTTTATTTAAGTTCATTAAAAATGTATATGAAGGCTAACATGGCCAGAGGCAAATAGGTGAAGGCTATAATAATAGTTTTAAGAAAGAGCTTAGTTGTTTTTATTTTTAAAAATAGTTATTAAAAAATTGTCAGATTCTTTCCTTCATGGGCCGTTTCTATGGGCTCCCATGGGGAAGAGGATACTGCTACAACCTTGAAAACTGCTTGTAAAAGTTGCAAACAGACTGAAGAAAAACTACCTCTTGCACCTTAACAGAGACCTAGATTCAGCTGCTGCTTTTTTCCCTCTGTTCTGTTGGCCTTTGTCAGAAATAATATGTGACAGAAGAGATGGTTAGGAGGCACCCTACCACCTCAGTGGGTAGGGCGCCGGCCACGTACACCGAGGCTGGTAGGTTCAAATATGGTCCAGGCCAGCTAAAACAACAATGACAACTGCAACCAAAAAAAATAGGCGGGTGTTGTGTCAGGCGCCTGTAGTCCCAGCTACTTGGGAGGCTGAGGCAAGAGAATCGCTTGAGCCTGAGAGTTTGAGGTTGCTGTGAGCTGTGATGC